TATCTATTTTACTTGACACAGCTTTTCTTCTAAGCTCACGTTTACTTCAATTCAAATAATCCCTTATTATAGCCACTATCTGTTTTCTGACAAAGAAATATCTCATGAAACAGGTTCTTCTGCTCCACTGGTTTTGGATGGAGTAGACCTAAAGCTACTCTCAATCAAGGTTAATGGAAAGGAACTAAAGGTATGTAATTGCCATTCAAATCCCAAAGTAGCTTTGTATATAATTGCCATAGCTTTCTCAGAGTAGCATGCTAAACTTGGCACTAGAGCTAGAATCAGTGTAAAGTGTGCAGCGTTCACTAAAGCTATAACGTTTTATGTTTAAGTAATCCTTGTGGAGCTACATTTTCTAAGTTGAGAATTGATATTGATATTTCTTTATATGGAAATGTAGTGTTTGGATTTATGAATATGCTACTGACAGCAATATGTTCATTTTTTCATCTTAGGAGGGGGAGTACTCCTTAGAGTCACGCCATTTGACACTTCCATCACCACCCAATGGGACTTTTACCTTGGAAATTGTTAATGAGATATACCCTCAAAAGAACACATCCCTAGAGGTGAATTCTTTTTTGTATGTCCTTGCATCAACTGTTTGTTTTTCACCATATTACCCTTAATATCAGTTCAATTTTCTTTCAATAGGGGCTTTATAAGTCATCAATGAATTTCTGTACCCAATGTGAAGCAGAGGGATTCAGGAAAATTACATTTTATCAGGTTGGTACATTCAAACATGAATTTTTTTTTTTTATCATTTTCTTAATTTATTGTGATATATGAGTCTGATAATACTTTTTGATTCTTAAAATGCACTAACAGGATCGCCCTGATATCATGGCAAAATACACTTGCCGTATTGAAGCTGATAAGTCATCATACCCAGTGTTGTTGTCCAATGGAAATCTAATAGAGAATGGGGATCTTGAGGTGAGCTTAACTTATCATGCTATGTTTCTTGGCTGGTTAATTGTTGTCTTTTATTTATTATAATTTTTGTTTCCATTACAGGGTGGCAGGCATTATGCTCTATGGGAGGATCCCTTTAAGAAACCGTGCTATTTATTTGCTTTAGTTGCTGGACCACTGGAGAGCAGGGATGATATATTTGTTACTCACTCTGGAAGGCAAGTGTCCCTGAGGATCTGGACCCCAGCACAAGATGTACCAAAGACTGCACATGCGATGTATTCACTGAAGGCAGCTATGAAGTGGGATGAGGATGTTAGTATTTTCATTCTTCACCAGACTTTTGGAGATGATGTTCAGTTTGTCTTGTTGCTCCTTTTATGACTCTTCGTATCCTGCAGGTCTTCGGTCTTGAGTATGACCTGGATCTCTTCAATATTGTTGCTGTTCCAGACTTTAACATGTGAGCTTCATTTTTAAAAATGAAATATGTGATCATATATGTGCTATTTCTTTGCTTCTCTGAGTTATTGTATTCAGTTTGCATCCTTAAGAATTGCTGATATAGCTTATTTGTTGATTGGTGTCAGGGGAGCCATGGAAAACAAGAGTTTGAATGTATGCTTTCTGGCTTATTCATTGCTGTTGAATATAATTTGTTGTTGCTTCCTACTAAAATTTCATCTCTTTTTGTCCTATATAGATTTTCAATTCCAAGCTTGTTTTGGCTTCTCCAGAAACTGCTACTGATGCAGATTATGCTGCAATTTTGGGTGTTATTGGACATGAGGTCTGTAATAAAAGTCAAAGAGGAGTCATGATTTTTTCTCACCTTTACTTTGGATGAATCTCATTTATAATGACTGGGATTTTATTTCTTGTGTATTATGCAGTATTTTCACAACTGGACTGGTAACAGGTTGGCTATCTATTTTGCCATTTGTGTCTCTTTAACTATTTCCTTAATTAGTAACATGAACATGATATTTGTGATCTATTTTTGGTATGATTTTAACTTTTGATTAGTCCTAATAAGCACAACGAGAACATTGAATAAGCATCATTATATTCAAAATAGCAAGTATTATTGAAACTCAAATTTAT